GTCGTCAAGCTGACCCGTACCCTCCTCCTCATCCTCCGTCTTGCTCGCGCGCAGCTCCCCCTCTCCCTCCCCTCCTTCCCCCTCCATGTCGATCGACTCGTCCTCGACGTCGCTCTGCGCTGGCGACCCACTCGGCAGCAGCCCGTCCCCAAGGAAGGTGCGCTCGTACTCGTCCGCCCACGGCTTGTTGGCACCCTCGTCAACCTTGTCGACGGCGTCGCCCGCATCGCCTGCGTCGCTCGTGCCGCTGCGCCAGCTTGTCGACAGACTGGGCGCGCGTGCTGAGGTGGAGGAGCTGCGGGGGGGCGTGCCGGCCTCAGTGGGGGAGCTGAGCAGCTCCTCGAGGAAGGCGGTCGCTGGTGACGGATCTGCGGGCGCGTTCGCTGCCTCACTCGCGTGGGCGTTGGGGCTCGTAGTATCTGAGGAGGAGTACATGAAATTGTGACTGACTTGCTCAGCCATCTCCTCTGCAGAAATGTTGTCCGGGCGGACACACGAGAGCGACACGGAGTCGTCAAGTGCCGGTGTCGGTTCGGGTGCAGGTGGCTGGATGCGTGCGGGCGTAGCGGGCAGTGTCAACGTGTTAATGCAAGGCACCTTGGCAGAACCACCCTGTGCGCGAGGCAAGTTGAGAGCTGGGTCCAACTTGGCGAGTTTTGCGGGCCGCGAGAGCGAGACGAGGCGGTGCTGGCCCCTTGTCCTCAGCTAGTCCCGCCTCTTCGCCACGCGTGCCTCCCTGTTGGGCGCGGTGCTTGTCAGAGTGCTGCTGGGCAGCGCGGGCGCCTGCTGCGCCCACCGCAGAGGGCCCGACAGCGGCCGCCGCCGCCGCCAACTCGGAGGGGAGGGGGCGCGTCATGCCCCTTACGCGCCCCTCCCTCGCCCTCTCGCACTTGAGCCGCCCCAGGCTTGTGCTGAGCAGGTCCCCTGACCCGCTGCACAGAGTGCCCACGAGCGCCGTGTCCCACAGCAGCACCAGCACCGACCCGTGGTCGCACCTCCCCGCCCCCAGCCACCTTGGCCTCCCCCTCACCACCTCCCTCCCCTCGGGCGCGCGCTTCTCCAGGGCGCGCACCACGTCCTCCAGAGCATCCTCGATCCGCACCACGTAGTGCAGCACGAGCCCGTGGCATCCCACCGGCGTCGCGACCTCGAGCCCGGCCAAGGAGGCGGTGCAGCACAAGGCCGCCTTGTCTGCGCTGCCTGTCTGCACAAGTATGTTGCCACTCCGCATCCTACTCGTGCTGCTGCCCTGTGGCAGCTGGATTGAGCTGACCAGCTGCGCAGGTGTGTTATTGGCAGCATTACGCAGGTCTCGCACTTGGGCCAGTGGTAGGCAGGGAGGGGCATTATTGACCCTGGCAACAGCGCGTCAAGGGCGGGCGCGTGCCTGCGCGGTGCCTGCTGGGCACCAGGGGAGGTGGCTGCGGCAGTGTACGAGCGCGCAGGAGGCAAGGGCATGTTGTCACCTCCTCCCACCTCAATGGGCAGGGGCGAGAAGCGGTTAGAAGTCATCAGGCGTGCCTCCACCACAGCCATGACGGCCTTCCAGGCGCGTCAGGGCGGCCACGACAGCGTCTTGAGGGGATGTGGCAAATGTGGTGGTCGTTTTGATTTCTAGGGGAGGAGGCGTGGGGGAGGTGCGGAGGGCGCCACAGCGGGCTTGGCAGGTGCTGTGAGCGTGGCAGGACGCGCAGTCAACGTGTAGGATGGTGCAACAGACGTTTGACGCTGGCCCAAGACAAGCTGAGCACGTCAGGACGCAATGGTTTTGGTGGTGGCAGATTTTGGGTGGGGGTCCTTGATGTTCGCATCTCCCGGAGGGAGAGGAGGAGGCTGCTGGTTGTTGGATGGGGTTGTACTTTACACTGTGCGCCAGCAGGTGCAGCACCAGGCAGTCTCAAGCGGGGGCTCAAATCTGCTTGTCAATGCAGGTGGTGCCAGGGGTGGGAGGGGCCGCCTGCTGAGGTTGTGCAGCAGCTGAGTGCAAGAGCAGGCAAGGAGGCGACAGTCAAGGAGGAAGTGATGCCAATTCTTGGGGGCACTGCACCCACGTGCGCCCATCAGGTGTTCACCGATGCGGCACAAGTTGTTGTTGAGACCAGAGAAGTTGAGGCAAACGGGGGCAAGCAGCGTGCTGTGTTGGCGCAAGAGCAAGGAGTGGTAGGAGGAGAAGGCTCGGCCAGGAGGAGCTGTGATGACAGCACTCAATTAGCGGAAAGGCCAACCTCAACTTGTTTGAACACTTGCCCGACGTGTTGGGGAAGTGGCCCAAGCTTTGCATCGCCTCGGTTGTCTGTGAGCGTGCGTACAGTCGGTTGGCACAAAGAGCTTGAGCGGCAGTTCTTGGAGAAGGACAAGGGTGTGGAGGAGGCAGTGGCCCAAGAGGCAACCACAGACAAGGGGCTGCAATGATTAGGTTACACAAGGATGGAGACAGTCAGGGCTGGCAAGACTGCCTCCTGGAGGAGTGGAGGAGGTCAATGGTGTGGTTCAAGTTGTCAAGCTGACCCGCACCCTCCTCCTCCAGTCCCTGCTTGCTTGCTTGCAACAGCCCCTCCTCAGCCACACTGCCAGGACCGTGAGTCGCAGTGCTTGATGAGAGGGATCCACATGCTGAGGGAGCGAAAAAAAAAGCGACGAACCAGGTTTGAACTGGTGACCTGACGATGTGAGCGCATGTGCACTGCAGTCGACCGCTCTGCCACTGAGCTATCGCCGCCATGTTTCATTAATCGCCGGACTCTACAATACAATACAAAGAACAGAATTCAGTTGGAGGAGGGCACACTGAAAGGCACCCGCCCAGCCATTCAGCAGGGGACCAGATAGAACAGTGTAACATTGAGACAGAGTGATTCCAGCCACTCACCCAAGGCAGCACAGGTGGAACAGACATAAATGTGTGGCCTGCTCGCTGTTCTCCAAGTGTGCAAGATGGGGGGCTACCAAGCGCTACAAGAGAGCAGCTTGGTCTACCTGTTCTCCCGGGTGGGTGAGCTGGAGGAGAACAGGCAACTCAGGTACGCTGGCTGCATGCCTGCCACGTGCGTTCAAGCCTGCTGAGTCTGCTGCAATCTACTCTGCTGCAACGCCTGCCAAATAGGGAGAGCCATGCCAAGAAATCCCTGCAGGAGGTCTTGTGTCAGTGTGAACAAAAAGCACAGCGGGGAGATAACACGGTGGGAGGCAAGTGCGCAGAGTGGACCTGGACATCAATCTCAGCCCTGGGAGGCGGCTTGCCTGACACTTAGAGCGCTGTGTGAGGTGGGGGATACAGGAGGTTGAGCTGTTGAGGAGAGGTGAGGCGCAGGACCCAAAGTGCACTGTCATCACTTGTGCAGGTGCTGACTGGGCAAGCCAAGCAGCGTCCAGCACCTTGCCACTGGAGCAGAGGTAGGATGGGAGCAGCAGCAGGTAAGGACAGGGTCCAACTGGGTTGACCTCCTTGGGTCCCATGTGTGACCCTGTGCTTTGAGCAACAGGCAGCACTGGCTGTGAGAGTCCCCAGTAAATGGAGCTGTAAGCAAGTTCTGCACAAGCAGGAGGAGAGGAGACTGGACAAGAGCCTGCAAGTGCAAATGTCAGAACGGGAATGTGTAGAGCCGACGTCGGGAGGAGGGGGGTCGACGGCGGCAACACTGTCAATTGCGAGGATTGAAAGGACACTACTGTGGGTTGCAGAACTGTTCTTCTTGGTGGGTGAGCTGAGAGAACTACAGAGAAAGCGAGTGTGTGCGTACCTGTTCTCCTCGGTGGATGAGCTGAGGAGAACAGGCAACTTGCGCGCGGCGGCCTTGACTTGGCGCGCGCTTCTCAGATCCGCGCCTCAAGTCCTTCGACCGGCCCTCTTCCTGCGCCTCCCCTCGGGCGCAGCGGCCTCGTCCGCTGCACTTGCGGCTGGTTTGAGGGCAATGCCCCCCTGCACATCAGACGACAGCTTGTTGACCACCAGGCTGTCAGCTGTCCAATCAAAATACACTCACGCTCCTCTGCTTGTCAAGCTACCGCTACAGCTAATGCAACCAACTCCCTCTTGTCAACCTTGAGTGACTCGGTGTCCGCGCGCTTGCTCAGACCTTCTGCTGCGAAGTCCTCTCCCTGCCTTCCTTTTCCTCTCAAACCTTGCTGATCCACTCTCATACCACTGCCACTGCACTCACAGTCTGTGAATAATCATTGTCAACAAGGAGTCTCGGTTGCTGTAGCCCCCCCCCCCCCTCTCCTCTTCTTCTATTCAGCCATCCCCCCTCATCTCTGCTGGATTCCAAGGCCAGATCACTGTGACTTGGTGCACTCTGACCCTCAACATCTGCTCCACTCCTCCCTCACGTCTCCTCGTCCCACCCTCCACCTCGACTCCCTCCCCTTGCCCTGGCTGTAGGCCGGCCCTGGCATTTGTGCGCGAACACTGTGCCCCAGCATGATTGATCAGAGAGAATTGCTTGTTCCACAAGGCCAGCGGATTGGCAGCCTGGACCTGTCCCGGGGGGTTACCAAAGGCACCTCCAGCAAGCGCATGTTGCAATTGCTAGCTTCTTATATAAGAAAAAGAGGAACCCCCTGACAACGTAAGCATTGGTGGTTTAGTGGCAAAATTGGGCATTGCCAGCTTTCGCTGAGTTGCCTAGCCCCGGGTTCGATTCCCGGCCAATGCATGTTCTTTTGCTGCGGGTCCGTTCTAGGTCTCATTCCCCTTTTTCCTTGCCTCCTAGGCCTTCTGCATTCAGTTCCTCCCCCAGTGGGGAACTGACTGGCCCGAAGACATGCACGCTTACGCGCCTGGCAACCCTGCACGGCTGGGCAAACATATATCCAAGGACCAATTCTGCACACAGCAGGGTTCGCTTGACAAATATCAAAAGTTCATTGACAAGCACACCAAGGACCTCCACAGCCTGTCAGCGGTTGGCTTGTACATTGAGGTTGGCGGCATCACTCAGGAGATTCTGGCTCTGTGGCTCAAACACGCACTGCAGACCACACCACATCCGCATGTGGGTGGATGCCCTGGCTGGTGCACTACTGCTTCCTTGACACCCCACACATGCAGTGCGTCTGTGTGCACAAAGAAGAACAATGAGATCATCTAGGTAAGCTCCCCACTCTGCCAGTGTCAAGGCGCTACGTGAGGACTGACAACTGGCAACTTAGTCCCATATGGCAGCACCTTGAGTCTATCAGCTTCAAGGGACACTCAGTCAAAGCGTCATGTTCTTTGTAGCACACGATCGCTGGCGCGGGTGTCTCGCTTGCAGTTCGCGTCGAGCGTTGAGGTCAATCGACATTGAAGGCTTTCAAGTCGAGTAGGGCGGGGGGGAGGCCGGAGGCGCGCGGCGAGAGGTGGGTCACTCAATTCAACACTGACACCTTCTCGTCGCCGCTCCCAGACCTTGCCAGGAGAAAGGACAGCCACGTCTCTCTCCCGGAAAAACCAGGTGTTGATGGGGACGGTGGGCGGGTCTGACAAACTCGAATCGCTCGACTGAGCAGCACTCGAGAGAGCCCGTGAGAGCTCGCTACGCTCTACGCTGGCGTCTCCTCACACCCGCGCACCCACGGAATTGGCCGCCTGGGGTAGCGTCCGATTCCGTTGACTCATGATTCTCAACAAGACCAATTGTCACACCCAGTCACCAGTGCCCGTTCTAGATCGCCTTGCTGAGCTAGCCTTACTGTCCGCAAACATCCGTCAGCCATGCATTGACTAGCGGGAGAGACACGCTTTTGGTTGTTCTGAGAGCAGCGGACGAGAACACGTCCAACCCGATAATACACATTGAGTTGCAGAAAGAAGCAACCAACGCCTCAATAGCACAGTGGCAGTGCGTGTCACTCGTAATGACAAGGTCGAGTGTTCGATCCACTCTTGAGGCAGAGCAGTGTGCGCCGCGGGCGCTTCCCTTTTTTGCCGCGTGCGCCAGCTGCGAGAGATTTTCCACTTCCGGAACCAACTGGAGCCTGTCCCGCTTCCTCCTGGGCTTCGCACGAGAGGCAAGCCATGCAGACCAATCATGGAGCAAGCAAGCAGAAGCTTGCCAACGGCCACGCACGGGCTGCAGCGAGCCACTGCCGCGCAACAGGCGCACCAGGGCGCGAGCTGCCTCTGTGCTGGAGACTGCAGCTGCAAACATTCCTTGTTCAGCTGGCAGCCCATAACTCATGTTGGATTGCTTCCGCAGGACACACGGAATGAGCGACCGAGGCCACTTTGCCATCTGGATGTGAAGAGCTGCACAGGCGCGTGTGATTTACAGCAACAAAAAGGGGACAAATCTGCCTGGAACGTCCTCTGAGTCACGTAGCTTCGCTCCTCCCCCATGGCCAAGTCAACCAAATGCACCCAGCGCAGCCAACTGCGCAAGCCTTGCCATCTCATCCTCCTTGCCCTTGCCAGCGTTGGTTCCTCCACGGCACCCACACTCACTTGAGCAGTGGCACTGCCCGCGTGCGCCATTGCCGTCGAGCGGGTCCTGCCCGCACGCATCATCGAGCGGGTCCTGCAGGTAAACTGCTGAGCAGTCCGCAGGCGCCTGATCCAACCCCAATGGTGTGGAAGTTGCCGCAGAGAGTGCGGGCAGGTTGAGCTCGCGCACCAGAGCGGTAGTGGCTTCTTCGAGTGGGGCGTGCGGTGCTGTGGGCTCAATGCTCGGTGGGCGGGCCTCGCCGATGCCGTCGTCGATGATCTCGAGGTCGAGCAGGGCGGGGTAGAGTGTGCGGAGGGATGGCAGAGGCTTGGAAATCGCGGGAGAGGTGGCGGGCCTGAAGGAGGTGAAGGGTGCGTGGAAGGCGGAGGTCCCGTGCGCCCAAAGCGAGGGGAGCTCGATGCCCGACGACGAGGGGACAAGCGTCCGAGTCCCTCCTGTGACGTCTGCTCCGTCACCACTGCCCCCGCAGCACGGCTTGGGCCCCGGCGCCGAAGCAACCTTTGACGACCCTCTGCGCGGGCTGCAGCACCCGCCCTTCTCCGGCGCCTGCAGCATGTCGACCCTCGCTCTCTTGCCCCCGCCCTCGCAGCCCTTCGCCGTCCCGCAGCGGCACCCGCCGCCGCTGCACGCGCCCGGCGCAGGCCTTTTGCGCGAGTGCGGGTCGTGCACCGCACAACCGACGCAGCCGCACGTCGGGCCGCAGAAGCACGCGTGGGTCCCGTGCGTCGGGGGAAGGAAGAGCGCGTCGGGGGGAGCGGTGGGAGGAGGGGCAGGGGCGGTGGAGGAGGCGAGGGCTGGTGGAGACGGGTCGACGAGAGTGGGGGACACGAGGATGTCGGCGGACACGTCGGGCGCGGGCGGCGTGCAGAGGGGCGTGGCGTCAGGCGGGTCGTCGAAGAAGACAGGGCCCGGGACAGGGACTGCGCTGGACGAACAACACCCGCCGAGGGAGGAAGTCGACGCGGCGGGGGCGGGAAGGTCGTCTGCCGGGAACGCCTTGGGCGCGGCGCGCTTGACGACGGAGCAGCAGGTGCACTTGCCGCCGCGGAGGCAGTTGCACGGGTTGAGTAGGCGCGTGACTGCATGTGAGGGATGGGTCAGAATAGTGCAGCGAGGGCTGCCACGGTCAGAGGGCGCACCTCCTGAAGCCTCGGTCGTCGTCAGAGCAGGACCTTCAAGTTCGGGCGTCGCGACTGCATCGACGAGACCATTGGGCAGCAGACGAGGAGCCTCTCTGACTGGCGAGCCAGAGGGAAGGGTCAGCGAGCGTGCAGGCGAGGCAGGCGGCGAGGAG